CATAAAGGGCTGTTGAATTTTGTCAAAGGCCTTCTCTGCATCAATTGAGATAATCATGTGGTTTTTGTCTTTGGTTCTGTTTATGTGGTGAATTACGTTTATAGACTTGCATATGTTGAACCAGCCTTGCATCCCCAGGATGAAGCCTACTTGATCATGGTAAATAAGCTCTTTGATGTGCCATTGCAATCGGTTTGCCAGTATTTTATTGAAGATTTTTACATCTATCTTCATCATGGATGTTGGCCTGAAGTTTTCTTTTCTTTCTGAGTCTTTGCCGGGTTTTGGTGTCAGGATGATGTTGGTCTCATAAAATGATTTGGGAAGGATTCCCTCTTTTTGGATTATTTGGAATAGTTTCAGAAGGAATGGTACCAGCTCCTCTTTGTATTCTGGTAGAATTCGGCTGTGAACCCATCTGGACCTGGGGTTTTTTTGGTTGATAGGCTATTAATTGCTGCCTCAACTTCTGCCCTTGTTATTGGTCTATTCAGGGTTTCGACTTTTTCCTGGTTTAGGCTTGGGAGGATGCAAGTGTCCAGGAATTTATCAATTTCTTCCAGGTTTACTAGTTTATGTGCATAGAGTTTATTGTAATAATTTCTGATGATGGTTTGTATTTTTGTGGAATCCGTGGTGATATCCCCTTTATCATTTTTTATTGCATCTATTTGATTCTTCTCTCTTTTCTTTTTTATTATTCTGGCTAGTGGTCTGTCTATTTTGTTGGTGTTTTCAAAAAACCAGCTCCTGGGTTTATTGATTTTTTGAAGGGTTTTTTGTGTCTCTATCTCCTTCAGTTCTGCTCTGATCTTAGTTATTTCTTGTCTTCTGCTAGCTTTTGAGTTTTTTTGATCTTGCTCCTCTAGCTCTTTCAATTTTGACAATAGGGTGTCAATTTTAGATCTTTCCTTGTTTATCATATGGGCATTTATTGCTGTAAATTTTCCTGTAGACACTGCTTTAAATGTGTCCCAGAGATTCTGGTACATTGTGTCTTCGTTCTCATTGGTTTCGAAGAACATCTTTATTTCTGCCTTCATTTCATTGTTTATCCAGTCAACATTCAAGAGCCAGTTGTTCAGTTTCCATAAAGCTGTGCAGTTCTGAGTCAGTTTCTGAATTCTGAATTCTAACTTGATTGCACTGTGGTCTGTTTGTTATGATTTCCATTCTTTTGCATTTGCTGAGAAGTGATTTACTTCCAATTATGTGGTCAATTTTAGAGTAGGTGTGAAGTGGTGCTGAGAAGAATGTATATTCTGTGGATTTGGGGTGGAGGGTTCTGTAAATATCTATTAGGTTTGCTTGGTCCAGGCTTGAGTTCAAGTCCTGGATATCCTTGTTAATTTTCTGTCTCATTGATCTGTCTAATATGACAATGGGGTGTTAAAGTCTCCAGCTATTATTGTGTGGGAGTCTAGGTCTCTTTTTAAGTCATTAAGAACTTGTTTTATGTATCTGGGTGCTCCTGTATTGGGTGCGTATATATTTAGGATCGTTAGCTCTTCTTGTTGCATTGATCCTTTTACCATTATGTAATGTCCTTTTTTGTCTCTTTTGATTTTTGTTGGTTTAAAGTCTATTTTATCAGAGACGAGAACTGCAACTCCTGCTTTTTTTTGCTTGGTAAATCTTCCTCCGTCCCTTCATTTTGAGTCTTTGTGTATCCTTGCATGTGAGATGGGTTTCCTGGATACAACACACCGATGGGTTTTGGCTTTTTATCCAATTTGCCAGTCTATGTCTTTTGATTGGGGCATTTAGCCCCTTTACATTTAGGGTTAATATTGTTATGTGTGAATTTGATCCTGCCATTTTGATGCTAGCTGGCTGTTTTGCCCATTAGTTGATGCTTTTTCTTCTTTGTGTTGGTGCTCTTTAACATTTGGTACGTTTTTGGAGTGGCCAGTACTGGTTGTTCCTTTCTATGCTTAGCGCTTCATTCAGGAGCTCTTGTAAGGCAGGCCTGGTGGTGATGAAATCTCTGAATACTTGCTTGTTTGTAAAGGATTTTCTCCTTCACTTATGAAGCTTAGTTTGGCTGGATATGAAATTCTAGGTTGAAAGTTCTTTTCTTTAAGGATGTTAAATATTGGCCCCCACACTCTTCTGGCTTGTAGGGTTTCTGCTGAGAGATCCACTGTGAGTCTGATGGGCTTCCCGTTGTGGGTAACCCGACCTTTCTCTCTGGCTGCCCTTAGCATTTTCTCCTTCATTTCAACCCTGGTGAATCTGACGATTATGTGCCTTGGGGTTGCTCTTCTTGAGGAATATCTTTGTGTTATTCTCTGTATTTCCTGGACTTGAATATTGGCCTGCCTTGCTAAGTTGGGGAAGTTTTCCTGGATTATATCCTGAAGAGTATTTTCCAGATTGGATTCATTCTGTCCATCACATTCAGGTATGCCTATCAAATGTAGATTAGGTCTTTTCACATAGTCCCATATGTCTTAGAGACTTTGTTCATTCCTTTTTACCCTTTTTTCTCTAATGTTGCCTTCTCGTTTTATTTCATTGAGTTAATCTTTGACCTCTGATATCCTTTCTTCTGCTTGGTCAATTCGGCTGTTGAAACTCACGTATGCTTCGCGAAGTTCTTGTGTTGTGTTTTTCAGCTCCATCAATTCATTAATATTCCTAAGTTGTTTATTCTCGTTAGCATTTCGTCAAATATTTTTTCAAGGTTCTTAGTTTCTTTGCATTGGGTTAGAACATGTTCTTTTAGCTCAGTGAAGTTTCTGATTACTAACCTTCTGAAGCCTGTTTCTGTCAATTCATCACACTCATTCTCCATCCAGCCTTGTTCCCTTGCTGGTGAGTTGTGATCCCTTGGAGGAGGAGCGGCATTCTGGTTTCAGATGTTTTCATCCTTTTTGCGCTGGCTTCTTCCCATCTTTGTGGATTTATCCACCTGTCGTCTTTGTAGTTGTTGGCTTTCAGATTGGGTCTCTGAGTGAATGTCCAGTTTGTTGATGATGAAGTTATTTCTTTCTGTTTCTTAGTTTTCCTTCTAGCATTCAGGCCCCTCTGCTGTAGGACTGCTGAGGTCCACTCCAGGCCCTGCTTGCCTGGGGATCCTATGCAGCAGCTGCAGAATAGTAAGGGTTGCTGCCGGTTTCTTCTGCTGTCTTTTTCCCGGAAGGATACCTGCCTGATGTCAGTCCGAGCTCTCCTTTATGAGGTGACTCTTTGGATATGCAGGGGTCAGGGAGCTGCTTGAGGAGACAGTCTGTCCTTTATAGGAGCTCAAGTGCTGAGCTGTGAGCTCCATTGTTCATTCAGAGCTGCTGGGCAGGTACATTTAAGTCTGCTGCAGCAGAACTCATAACCTCCCCCCCTTTTTTTTCCCAGGTGCTCTGTCCCGGGGCGTTAGGGCTTTATTTATAAGTTTCTGTCATGCTGCTGCCTTTTTTCAGGGATGCCCTGCCCAGCGAGGAGGCAGCCTAGTCACTGTCTGCCTGCAGAGGCTTTGCTGAGCTGCTGTGGGCTCTGCCCAGCTGCCGTGTGAACCTCCCTGCAGTCCTGTTTATATGGGTACAGTTAGAACTGCCTCGGCAGTGATGGACTGTCTCTGTAACGGTAGGCTGCCTCAGCAATGGCGGACTAGCTCCTTAGTGATGGACTGCCTTGGTAATGGTGGACGCCCCTCCCCCATAGAGCTGGCCCGTCCTGGGTTCAGCTGTGCTTGCTGTGAAACTGTTAATCCAGAGCATTTCAGATTGCTGTTTTTTTGTGGGGGTGGGACCAGCCAAGCCTGATCACCTGGTTCCCTGCCTCAGACCTATTTTTTTGTTTTTTCGTTTCTGACTCCCAGGTGTTCCAGTCACCTGTTGAAAAGGTGCCAGGATCTGTGTGATTTCCCAGGCAGTGACCTACTGCGCAGGCTGAGACTTGTGGTGCTTTTTTTGTCCGGGAATCTCCTGGCCTGGCTCCCTGTTTCAGTCCGCTTTTTTATCAATCGAATGGGCAACTCTGTCTCCCAGGAGCTCCAATCGCCAGCTAAAACAGCGCCCGGACCTGTGTGTTTTGTGCAGAGACCTGCCAGGCTGGGGGCGCTGGCCAAAACAGCCACGCAGGCCAAACCAGCGCACTGGTGACCCGTGGGGCTCCACCGCCTGGGAATCTCCTGGTCTGTGGGCAATAAAAATCCGTCTGTAAATGCAGCGTCCACTCACCCTCAGCGCTTTCGCTGGGAGCCACAACCCTGAGCTGCTCCTAATTGGCCATCTGGGATCACATCCAATAAAGTCTTTAAATTTCCATTTAAGAGGGTATTATGCTGACCTCTTAACTGAGATTCTTTGTTGACAAAACAAGTGTTCCTCATTATTTAACTGCGAATAACATCTTGCATCTGAAAATTAGAAAATAAAATGTTTCAGGTTCTCTCTGCTAAATTCGGTTTCACTACTAAGAAGTACCAACTCATAGAACTGACTGTGCTCTGGGTGACGTGGCTTTCTCTCCCTTCAGAGGTTCCAGGTCAGCGTTCCAGGTGGGCTTCATAAGTAGAAATCCAGTCGCCAATTCTGAAGCCCCCCAGTTAGTGAATGTTCAGGGCATGGATTTCTGCTCAGGCATGGGAAAGATCTTCCCAAGTGGGGCAGGGCTCAACAAAGAGGAGGGTGGCCTTGGAGGCTGGCTGATATCCTGCTTTATACCTGAACATCTCGCCGACAGAGCCAAAAGACACAACCAGGAGGGTCTGTACCAAACTCCCATTATCCAGGACTTTCCTTTGGCTGGAGTGGGAGAGGGGAAGGTGTGTCAGAAGGTTGCTTCTCCTCTTTTCCTGCAGCAGGCAATGGCTTCACTGTTTACCAAGTACTGTTTCCCATGAGCTGGCATGAGAAATTCCCCGCTACTTAAAATATTCTACCTCATTTGGAAAATACATTCTAAGTTCCAACCAACTGAATTAGAAATGAGATTTTTATTTTTATACAAATTGCCAGGTAAATATATGAATCTATTTTAGTTGCAAAATATTCAAACAACACAATATGACAAATGGATGTTTGACTGAATTATATAGCTGTTCTGGAATTTTTCCCCTCAGACGCATAACCTGGGGAAAATACATGAATTGTGGCCAAACGTGCATTGCCCCCGACTACATTCTCTGTGAAGCATCCCTCCAGAATCAAATTGTGCAGAAGATTAAAGAAACGGTGAAGGTTTGTATTCAACACATCTGATTCCACTGATTTTAATAAGATAAGGAGTCAAATTAACTATTCACAGAGCATCCCCATTAGTTTCTCTCTCTAGGAAAATGTCACAAGCATATATGGCCCAATGAACTTATTAGCTAATAAGAAAATACTATATGTACCTTTCATAGAATATCTGCTAGGAGCAAAGTTGCATTGGTGTTAAATCTACTTAAGCTGTCTAGTTGATTTGTTGATAATTAGTTGTGGCATATACTTACTTTTAAAAAACTTAAATAATTGTGTGTTTGTGATTTTGAGAGAATGTTGCCAACCTTTTAGGTATAATCAGAGAGACGGTTTGGCATGTTGGCCATTGATGATGAAGGTTATCAGCTTTTGTGTATGTAGAGGGCTTGGGGTGGCCAGTAGTTTGGAGGAGTGACTTAATTAAATAACTACTTATAGTATACCTTTTATATAGTTATCAATATCTCAGAGTGTTTAAAATAAATATCTGCAGTGAGGGAACCAAGGAAAGCTGCATGATAGAGTCCTAAGCCAAGACTTGAAGAAAATGTAGGATTTAGGTTGGCAGAAAAAAATGGGGGCTGGATGCGGTGGCTGGATGCAGTGGTTCATGCTCGTAATCCCAGCACTTTGGGAGGCCTAGGCGGCAGATCACTTGAGATCTGAAGTTCAAGACCAGCCTGGCCAATATGGTGAAACCCCATCTCTAGTAAAAATACAAAAAAAAATTAACCGGAGGCACAAGAATCACTTGAACCCTGGAGGCAAAGGTTGCAGTGAGCTAGGCTCACACCACTGCACTCCAGCAGCCTGGGTGACAGAGTGAGACTCTGTCTTAAAAAAAAGAAAGAAAAGAATGGGATGAGCAGATGAGTAATGTGACTGAGTTCAGCAGTGGGTGAGGGTCATTAACCTCTCAGATGAAAGAAATTATTGGAGCAGCCACTGTTTACTCAACAGATGTTAATTGAACACGGAAAGGAAGGATCAAAAACACCAAAGAGTAATGCTTGTGATCTGAAAATGAAAATTGTTGGCCAGACACGGTGGCTCATGCCTATAATCCTGGCACTTTGGGAGGCCGCGGCAGGTTGATCACTTGAGGTGAGGAGTTCGAGACCAGCCTGGCCAACATGGCAAACCCCGTCTCTACTAAAAGTAAAAAAATTAACCAGGCATGGTAGCACATGCCTATAATTCCAGCTGCTTGGGTGGCTGAGGCACGAGAATTGCTTGAACCCAGGAGGTAGAGGTTGCAGTGAGCCAAGATCATGCTACTGCACTCCAACCTGGATAATGGAATGAGAGCCTGTCTCAAAAAATTTTAAAAAAGAAAACAGAAATTGTTGCCAGTTGAGGTGGCTCACTCCTGTAATCCCAGCACTTTGGGAGGATCACTGGAGCCCAGGAGTTCAAAACCAGCCGGGTCAACATAACAAGACCCTGACTCTACCAAAAAAAAAAAAAAAAGGTTAGCTGGGCATGGTGGCACATGCCTATAGTCCCAGCTACTCAGGAGGCTGAAGCCAGAAGGATCACTTGAGCCCAGTAGTTCAAGGCTGCAGGGAGCCATTATTGCACCACTGTGCTCCAGCCTGGGTGACAGCGCAAGACCCTGTCTCAACAGAAAAAAAAAAGAAAAGAGAAAATTGGCTGGGCACAGTGGCTCACTCCTGTAATCCCAGCACTTTGGGAGGCTGAGGCAAGACAGATTGCTTAAGGCTAGGAGTTGAAGACCAGCTGGGCAATATAGCAAAATCCCATCTCTACAAGACCCACAAAAATTAGCTGGGTGTAGTGGTGTGCACCTGTGGACCCACCCACTTGGGAAGCTGAGGTAAGAGGATTGCTTGAGCCTGCCTGGGAGGCGGAGGCTGCAGTGAGCTAAGATTGTACCACTGTACCACCCTGGGTGACAGAATGAGACCCTGTCTCAAAAATAAATAAATAAAAGAGAAAATTGTGTACCAGGAAGTTCAGGGAGATAGTTCACGATGTGTTTGAGGCAGAGTAACTTGGGTGATGAGGTACTAGGGTCTTGATATGGGAATTGGACTATCATTTTCAGTGATAAGACTAAAAATGGATCCAGATGAGAACATGAAGGGAGAGTTGCCCAGATTTAGGGTACATGGGAAGAGAAAATGGTTAAATATACTTGTGAGACTGAAAAATACTTGGGAATTGGAGAAACGCATAGTTGAATGTGGTAACGAATTCAGTTTCAAGGGAATAACGGCCTCTGCCTCCCTTTGAGGCATTTATACTCTAACACAGTGGTTCTCAAGCTACATGTTAGAATCACCAGGGAGCCATTTAAAAACAAGTTTGCAAGACTTACCCTCCAAAGATTCAGCTTTTTGGAGGCCCCCAGGTGATTCTATGATGTAGTCAGCATTGAAAGCTACTGTGGGTAGCTTTTACCACTCTGGAGTCAAAGCCTAGGCACATGCATTTTAGCAAGCTACACAAGTGATTCCTACTACTCAGACTTGAGAAGTGTTCTTGGTAGAGGTTGGGTGAACAGCGTTCATTTTGATTTGAGATTAAATTGAGAACTCTCGCAAGGCCTTGAAGTGATGTAGCAATTCAGTAATTTTGTGTTTATTTGACAAAGTAAATATTGGTTGTATTATTATGAGGTTCTTTTACCTTGGTGTTTTACCAAAGCTGTACTTTGAGCCTTTGAGTGGTTTCACCATCATGTGTAAGTGGTGGAAATACCAGTTCAAAGAATACCAAAACAACAAAGTGGAGCAAAGATTGGCAAATGTTTTCTGTAAAGGGCTCAGTGGTCAATATTTTAGGCTTTGCAGATCTTGGAGTCTCTGCTGCAACTACCCAACTTAATGTAGGGGGAGAGCAGGCACAGCCAGTGTGTGAACAAATAGGCAACCCTGACGTAAAACAAGATTTCTTTTCTAAGCCTACTACTGCCATTAGCCCCAGGGGGTGAAGGCCCATGGTTGGACTGTAAGAGATCCATAAGGACCCTTGGTACTATAGACAGTGATAGAGCTCTGGGTGTGTGCATGCTTTATTTTCTAGTCCTTGACCTGCCAAAAAGCTGAAACTTACTACTATTATACTACTGTTCAATTACTTGAGGGCTGGGTGTTTGATTCTGTGAGGATAGAAAACCAGATTGATTTGGGGGCATGGCTGGATTTTGTACTTACTGAAATTGAAATGCGGGTCTTTATGACATTTGTATACTTCTGTTGTTTTAAATAGGAATTTTATGGAGAAAATGTAAAAGAGTCTCCTGATTATGAAAGGATCATCAATCATCGTCATTTTAAGAGAATACTAAGTTTGCTTGAAGGACAAAAGATAGCTTTTGGTGGGGAGACGGATGAGGCCACACGCTACATAGGTAATGGAAATTCTCCTTTTCCTAAGGGAAGATGGCAGTTTGGCAGCTTTTGCTGACACTACTTACTAACACTAAATAAACTATTAAATATATAGCGTTTAGCCGTTAAAGTACTAAATACTGCTTTCCGTTATACTGTAGCTTTTGTTATAAACTATGTAAAATGTCTGTGTTCCTGTATGTTAAATGATGCCACCAGCGTTGCTCCAGTTGTTCATATTTACACGTAACTACTTTTTTCTTCCTAATGACCCTGAGAAACAGAGTAGAACTTGTAATTATCTCCAGTTTGTGGATAGGAAAACAGCACAAAGAAGAAAATAGCTTGGCCGCTATTCTACAACTAACCAGTGACAGTAACACTCCAGAAGTAACGTTTTGGTCCATCATGCTTGACCTGATTATTTGTGTACCTTCTTTATGCTTTCTCTTCTTTGCCTTGAATATGTATTACTTTGAATGTTAAGCACATTTTTCTAGAGTAAAATGTAAGGTGACAGAAAAGTTAGACCCATTTGGACTTGGCTGGCAAAGAAGCTGTCCCATATAGCTTTACTTATCCCCTTTATCAGAAAAGATGCTACAAGTTACCCCCCCCAAAAAAAACCTTAAAATATTGAAATAAGAAGCAGAAATTGATTATCTTATAATTAGCAGTCCCGAGGTTCTCCTGAGCTGGATAATTCAGTGGCTCAGTGGTACCATCAAAAAGCCCTGATTTTTTGTACTAGGATGTAAAAGAAAACAATCCTGTACCTTCTGTCTCTCTTGGTGGTGGCCCAGATTGAATTGCGGAATACATCTGTAGAAAAAAGGGAAAACAGACTCTAATTCTTTCATCTCTCTGTTCTCCCATCCTCAGTATGTCCGCATTGCCCATTTCTAGGCTAAGAATGGCAAGGGAAAGGGGCTATCCTGAGTAGCTCATAGACTAATTAGGACTTTCCCCTGATTTTGAGCTAGGATTATCTTACCTGAGCACAGCTATGCAGAGGAAGTAGACACCCAGCCCAAATTTGTTCTCTGACCTGAGGAAGATGTGGGCAGTGGATTTGGGGTGGCAGCTTATATACCCCTAGAAGTGGTACTGCAGGAAGCCATCCCCAGCCACATTGCCAAGATGCCCTAGTAGAAACTAGGGGTAAAGGAAAAGTGCCAACTTGTTAGATGACTTCTCTTTTGGTCGACGGTCCAGTTTATTCTTTACAGCATCTTTTGGAGTACAGCCAGTTGGTGACTTATGTTGGCAGCAGATGCTGGGACACTCTGCATAGCCTCCTCAGCATCTGTTTCGCCCTCCTTTCTTGTGCCTCTTCCCCATGGTAGATGGAACACTGAACTAAGACTTAGGGAATTTTGACCATTTAAGCCTGTTTTCTTAATCTGTCTAACAGAGTTGTAATAAAGATTAATGAGATAATATATATGAAAGCACTTGAGTTAAGAAAAAATAGTATTGATGTGATTCACAGAGGAGCTGTCTTTGCTCCTAGAAAAACCTGTCCACAAACAAATGTTAAGTATAATCTACAGTTAAATACATGCATGGCTGTGAGCAGAGTTAAGTATGAAAAAGATATATTTGACTGTATGTCGTTCCCTTGGTTTGCACAGGTACCCACAGGGTTGTGATTCACAGCCTTTGGAGACATTGAGTATTTGCACAGTTCATCCACATGCTCAGGACTTTTCACTGGATATGACTTGGGTAGGAGAAGGAGAGGGATGGATAGGTGACTCAATGAAAGACATGTAAGATGAGCGTTGTGCATTTTTGTCTCAGCATTTTCATTTTGTTTATTTTCTTTTAAGCCCCAACAGTACTTACTGATGTTGATCCTAAAACCAAGGTGATGCAAGAAGAAATTTTTGGACCAGTTCTTCCAATAGTGCCTGTGAAAAATGTAGATGAGGCCATAAATTTCATAAATGAACGTGAAAAGCCTCTGGCTCTCTATGTATTTTCACATAACAATAAGGTAAGCTTTAGAGAGAACAGCTCACTATCGTAAGTGACTGTCAAGAGTCATGTTCCTTCTCTGCTGTAAAACAATGCAAAAAACAATGTAAAACAGTGATGTGTTTTTTGTATAGCATCAGAGTCCACTAAGTGAGGTTGCATTCCTAGGTTGCTGTCTTGGATAATGAGGCTCTGGGGTTGTCACAGTCTCCATTCCCCTCCTCCCTGGGGTTATATCTGAGTCTGCAGGGGTGAGTGTCGCAGGGTTTTTGATTCACAAACATCTCCCGTATAATTGGAAGACTTCTATGTGCCAGCATTAAATGCTTTTCTGATGTTAATCCACAGGGCATTGCTGAATGCAAAGACAGCACCTCTGTGAATCACATCAGTGCTGTTTTTTCTTAACTTGAGTGCTCTTGCCTGCCCTATGACCAAAATGGCATTCACTGCCACTCAGAGGGAGTTGTGTGGGACAGAGACCCCGACATTGTCACATAAGTGGCTGTGATGTCACGGATTTTAGTTTCTCACATTACATTAGCTTCTTGTAGAGTGGTGGAACCGCATCACCTGGTTGAGCAGTTCCGCCACTTTCTGCATGGCTCACTCATTCATGTCACTAGGGGACCAGCTGCTACTAAGACACAGCGGCCTCAAGGAGGGCAAGTAGGTTCAGAAGCCCTCTGAAGAAGCGGGAAAACTAGAAGGGAAAAGAGACTAGTCAAGATCTGAGGAGTTCATAAGCCAAATGTTTTCTGGAGAGCTTCTGATGGTAATGTACAGATAGTCATGTGACACCTTTTGGAGCTTGTGATGCTGTTAAGATACAGATAGCTGCAGGCATTTGAAGTGAGACCCAATGTTCGGGGCCCAGTAAAGACTTGGTTATTACAAAACAATGGTTTGACATGTAAAACCATGGATAATGTGGGCAGGAAGGAACCCTGAAGCCGAAAGGCGGCTGGCCAAGGTACGAGTCAGGTGTGGAGCACTTCCCAGCAGTGGGTCACCTGAGGTCACTACTGTCCAGACTTGACATTTGCCATGAAGAACCCTGAAGGGCTTGCTGGCACCCAAGTGACATGGCATTTGCTAGTAAAGTGTTCTTGTGGTTTTCTGGGTCTTAGGCCAACCAACCATTTAATTCTTAAATAGGATGCTAAATCTATGGACTTAAATATTTTTGCATTTTACAAAGACTAAATAATAACTCCTAATCATATGTTATAATTTAGAGTGAGAAAAGAAAGAAACAATAACAGGTTTTAAAGCGGGAATGTAATCTAAACTGTCCCCTTATAAAGAGCCTTTTGCTGCTGTGCTGGGGAGTACAACTCTAGGTGGTGGCTGGGTAGGCCCAGAGGTTTGGAGCTGCCTCCCTTTGTGCACTAGATGTGTGTCTGAGAAGTTGGGTATCAGTCACTTTGCTAAATTAACCACAGTTTAGATTGTTTGGCTATCTGGCTGGCATGGCGTCCCCAGACTCGAGAATTTTCACTGACACAAAGCCAGAATGTGCATGCTTTGAGCACATAACTGAACACACAGCCCTCTGTGTGGCGGGGCCTGAGTGTTCCCTGAGAGGCAACTTCACTGACCTGGATGCCTTTGGTCTGTCCTCAGCTCATCAAACGGATGATTGATGAGACGTCCAGTGGGGGTGTCACAGGCAATGACGTCATCATGCACTTCATGCTCAACTCTTTCCCCTTTGGAGGAGTGGGTGAGTCACTTTCTCCTGCTCACAGGAGATATTTCGAAAGCACCACCATTTCACAAGTGGCTTGTTTGGGCTGTTGAAATAGCCAGCTGCTGCATACCCTGATTGTCATCTCCTGAGGGAGGCCTTCCCTGGTCACCCAGTTGACTGTGGTTTTCCCACTTTCCCACCCACCCCTCCAGCACAGGACGAATGTCCCCTCACTCTCCTGTCAGCAGCACTGACTGACCACAGTTGTAATCATTACTTTGTTCACTTCATTGATTTTATTTATTGTCCTGCCACATTTAGGAGATCTGGGAACCAAGACAGGTCTCAAATTAATTAACAAGATCTTGCTCTCTCTTTTTTTTTTTTTTTTTTTTTTTAAATGAGGTAGCAAATTAAAGGTTCAGAATGCCAGGGGACAGACCGCAGCTTCAGGAGTTTTTAAATGTGCCTTTGGTTACTGCTCAGGTCTTACCTGCATTGTTTCCCAGCCCTTTGCTGGGAAGAGCAGCCTTCTCCTTTAATTGTTTTGTGATTTGAGTAGAACGAGAAGCCCCCTGTTCTAGAGAGGGTGGGCAGGAAAAATTCATTCTAAGTGAAGCTTTGTGGCCATAGCCTGATCCTTACTGTTCCCTTTGGAACATGACTTGTCTCCCTCTCCGACGTGTGAGATGACTGACTCAGCTTTTTCTCCTTTGGGACGTAGGCTGGGTGGGCTTCTCCACTATCTAGTAGAGATATTACAAAACAGCCAAGATGAAAACATTCTCATAACAAAAAGCAAACCATAAAAGCCACCGTCTTGAAGCCCTATTCTATCCTCTCCCTTTGTAATACCATAAATTATTTGCTCCATGGGATGGAATGGCCCAGTTTGGCAGGACTGCCTGTTCCTAGTTAAGGAAACCTTTTTCTATGACCAAGAAGCCTTGGCCTGTAGCCACAGGTCCTTGTCTAAGAGGTAAACATGGCCAGCACACCGCACAGTGACTGTGCACATACACGGGTGAAGGACAGGCGGGAAGAGGCCAAATCAGTAGGTGTTGGCAGATCCAAATTGGAAATAGTGGTGACTTGGAGAGGGTGGTAGCAGGGGAGACGGTGGAAAGGGAAGTGGGAATTTTTTTGGATCAAGCAGCAGGATTTGCTGATGGAGTGAATGTGGGAGGAGGGGGTGAATGAAAGAGGATGACTCCTGGGATTTTGGCTGGAGTAACTAATAGTTTTGTAGCCCAAAGGCTTAAAAGATTGGACTCCATTGTCTCCAGCTCCTCAGCTCACCACATAGATCCTGGCATCCACTGTGCTACTGCAGCAGTCCACTCTGTAATTGTTCTATATGGTGTCTCCAGTGCCCTCTAATTGCAAATCTAAGTGACTTGGGTTCAGTCCCTGTCCTGCTTGACAAGGTAGCCTGTGGCATCATTGACTATACCATCTTATTTAAAACAAAACAAGGCTGGGCGCCATGGCTCATGCTTGTAATCCCAGGACTTTGGGAGGCTGAGGTGGGCGGATCACTTGAGATCAGGAGTTCAAGACTAGCCTGGCCAACATGGTGAAACCCCGTCTCTACTAAAAATAAAAAAATTAGCCAGGTGTGGCACATGCCTGTAGTCCCACCTATTAGGGAGGCTGAGGCAGGAGAATCACTTGAACCTGGGAGACAGAGGTTGCAGTGGGCCGAGATCGTACCACTGCACTCTAGCCTGGGCAGTAGAGCAAGACTTCATCTCAAAAATAAAAATAAAACAAACAACGTATTATATACTCATAAAAATCAAAAATACAGAAAAAAGACACAAAAGAAAAAAACAGGTCTACTGTCTCAGCAAATTTCAGGCATATAATACATTATTATAGTGGCCATGCTGTAAAAAAAGTAAATAAATAAAAAAAAACAAGCCTTGACCCCCAAATGTAAAAGGAATACAGGTTTTTTAAGAAAACTTGGAAAAGATAGAAGAGTCCAAAGAATAAACATTTACGTTATTCATAACCGTACTACGTAAAGATAACTGGTATATGTCGTGCACATACATGCATACACATATACACAGACACTTGAATATTCTGTTCAAAATGGTATCATATTATATATTCTGTACCCTGTATGCGACAGGATAGTGTGACAATTTACCATGTCAATATTCTTGCATGTCATAATTTTAGTAACTGCATACTCTTCCATCACACTAACGTGGCATATTTATGTAACCAATTCCCAGTATCAGATTTCAGTTTTTCTGGTATGATTCTTATGTAATGTATCTTTATGCAATCTCTTTATTTAGGAAAAATGTCTAGAAGTGTAATTACTGTGTTAAAAGGGCTTATACAATTTTCCAAATTGAAAAACATGCTTTTTTCTTCTAATTCTCAAAGTAACATAGACACAGCGGCAAAAAGTCTAAACAGTTAAACTTTAACGAAAAATGTAATAACCTCCCAGGCATAAACACTATTAATATTTTGTCATATAGGTTAGATTTTTTTCCTTTCTTTTTTTTTTTTTCTTTTTTTGAGTCTAAGTCTTACCATGTTGCCCAGGCTGGAGTGCAATGGTGCAATCTCAGCCCATTGCAACCTCCAACTCTCGGGTTCAAGCAATTACCCTGACCCAGCATCCCAGGTAGCTGGAATTACAGGTGCACGCCACCATGCCCAGCTAATTTTTGTATTTTTTGTAAAGACAGGGTTTTGCCATGTTAGCCAAGCTGGTCTCAAACTCCTGGGCTCAAGAGATCTACTTGCCTTGGCCTTCCGAAGTGCTAGAATTACAGGCATGAGCCATCACGCCCGGCCTAGGTTTTTCTTTAGAAATGCATTATCTTTAAAGCTTTTGATACACACTTCAAGTGTCTTTGCAGATTTCTGCTACCTCATATTCCCATGAACAGTGTGTGAGCGTTTACTTCCTTATACCTTAATTCTGGATTATTCCATTACTAAATTTCTAGACAGAAAGAGAAGGGTCTCATTTTAATTTGTACTCCTTTGATTATTAGTGAGTTTGAATTCATTTTTAGTACTCTCATGAATTTTCTGTTTATGTCCTTTGATATTTTTGCTGTTTTCGTGCCTTCCTTATTGGTATATAAATAGTCTTTTTTTTATAAGTAAGAAAATCCTCAGTCCTATCTGTAACACATATCCCTTTCCAGATTTTAACTTTTGTTTTAATTTTATCTATGATTTGAAACATTTATTTATTGTATTTTATTTATTTTCTGAGACACAGTCTCGCCCTTGTCACCCAGGCTGGAGTGCAGTGGCACTATCTCAGCTCACTGCAACCCCCACCTCCTGCCTCAGCCTACCGAGTAGCTGGGATTGTAGGCACCCGCCACCACACCCACCTAATTTTTAGTAGAGTTGGGGTTTCACCATGTTGGCCGGGCTGTTCTCCAACTTCTGATCTCAGGTGAGCCGCCCTCCTCAGCCTCCCAAAGTGCTGGGATTACAGGCGTGAGCCACTGCACCCGGCCTAAACCTGTGTGGCTTTTTGGTTTTTGGTTTCTGATTTGGAAAGTAGGCTTAGGAAAGCTTTCCCCACTTCAGCATTATATAAATATCATCTGTAAGCCAGGCGCAGTGGCTCATGCCTATAATCCCAGCACTTTGGGAGGCCAAGGCACCTGGCCAACATGGTGAAACCCTGTCTATACCTAAAAATACAAAAGAATTAGCCAGGCGTGGTGGCACTGCCTGTAGTCCCAGCTACTCAGGAGGCTGAGGGAGGAGAATAGCTTGAACCTGGGACATGGAGGTTGCAGTGAGCAGAGATTGTGCCATTGCACTCCAGCTTGGGCAACAGAGCGAGACTCTGTCTTAAAAATAATAATAAATAAACAAATAATAAAATAAATATCTGCAGTTTCTTTTTCTTTCTTTTTAATTTTAACATTTAACCATGGAGTTGGCCAGGCATATTAGCTTACACCTATAATCCCAGGACTTTGGAAAGGCAAGGCAGGTGGATCACCTGAGGTCAAGATCTTGAGACTAGCCTGGCCAACATGGTAAAACCCCGTCTCCACTAAAAATACAAAAAAAATTAGCTGGGCATGGTGGCACATACCTGCAGTCCCAGCTAGTCTATAGGCTGAGGCAGGAGAATCGCTTGAACCTGGGAGGTGGAAGCTGCAGTGAGCCGAGATTGCACCACTGCTCTCCAGCCTGGGCAACAGAGTGACAGAGTGAGCCTCCGTCTCAAAAATAAGAAATAAAAAGCTGCCATGGAGTTTACTTTAGAATGCTGTATGATGTAGTAATCTGCCTTTTTTTTTTTTTTTTTTTCAAAGTATGAACTAATTAGGCTGGCGCCACTTTTTGAAATAATCATCCTTATACCATTGGTACACATGTTTGGGACATTTTTGGGGTTTTCTCATCTTTCTGGTTTGTTTTTTCCATGGGCCAGTACCACAGTTTCAATTGCAGTAGCTGTACAGTTAGCTTTTTTTATAAGTGATATTTATTAAGTGCTTATTATATGCCAGGTGCTGCGGTTGAATCCCTGCCTTTTTTTTTTTT